AAAAGAAAAGAAAAGAAAAGAAAAGAAAGATTATTACAACTTGAAAGAAGACACATTTTCTCATCTCCTTAGCTGCAAACTCATTTTTGTTTCAAAAAGCATTATGAGGCATCATGGAAGTTTTCAAGTAATGGTCCTCTGCAGTTTAAAGAGGAATAAATTTTTCCTGTCCTCTAGCCAGGTTTAAGTCTCAGCCTCATGCACTAGAGGAACTATGCCATGCTGGTCAGTAAGGGGCTTTCATAGGCCAAATTTTGAGGGCAGAGTATGCTGAGAGTGTGTACAAGAACTGGAACATTTATGACCAGAATTCTGCATCTGTGAAAAAAACCCCTAAGATTTGTTAGATTCTTACTGGCTTTTTTTCTGGGTTGTGTGTTTCTGTAAACCCTAAATTCAATTACAAATCAAATTTTTAATCAAAAATGTAATCAAATGCTAGATTTTACATTGAAAACTTTATCACTCTTTAATGTGTAAACCTCTTGAAATCACTGGCAGGATTTTAAAGTCTATTTTACTTTACCAGAACACACCTTTCTCTTCAGTTTATCCTGATTCCCGGTGAACTGAGGTAGCTATTAGCTTTAGCTGACTGAAATATTTTGCTTGCTGTCCTTGTCCATCTAATTCAATAGTGCTTGTCCTGACATGCTCTTTCCCTGATGTGACAGACGTTTGTGACTTATGCATACACCAATGACAAGCCATTGCAGCCTGCCCAGGCATTTGCATCCCTTTCACTGTTCCACATTCTGGTCACACCTCTGTTCCTGCTGTCCACCGTGGTTCGTTTTGCAGTCAAGGCCATCGTGAGGTAAGTGGTCCTTCTCCTTCCTCCAACTCCCTCATGTTCCTCAACTTCCTCCAACACTCATGTTCAGTACCAGAAAAGGTTGTTTCCACCTGCTCCTGTGGAAGAGTGTTATGAGGTGGGACTCTGATACTAAAGATGTGAGAGAAATCAGAGTGACCCTTCTTTTTTACTCCATGACACAGAGACAAAGAAACAGCACAGGAAGGACAGGGAGCTGCTGCAGCCAGGCCAGAGCAGGGACACCAAGGCAATCAGAGGGATGGAGCAGCTCTGCTGGGAGGAAAGGCTGAGGGAATTGGAATTGGTCAGCCTGGAGAAGAGAAGGCTTTGGGGTGACCTCATTGTGGCCTTGCAGTGCCTGAAGGGAGCCCACGGGAAAGATGGAGAGAGACTCTTGATAAGGGCCTGGAGTGACAGGGGAAAGGCAGAATGACTTCACACTGACAGAGGGCAGGTTTAGATTGGGTATCAGAAAGAAGTTGTTCCCTGTCAGGATGCTGAGGCCCTGGCACAGATTGCCCAGAGCAGCTGTGGCTGCCCCAGTCCTGGAAGTGTCCCAGGCCAGGTTGGATGGTGCTCTGAGCAACCTGGGCTAGTGGAAGGTGTCCCTGCCCATGGCTGGGGGATAACAACAAGGTGGTCTTTAAGATTCTTTCCAACCTAGGCCATTCTGTGATTCTATGATTGCTAATGTTCCATTGTTTTTACAGTTTCACTAACTTCAGCAGTTTGGATTCAGAGCTGCACTGAACTGGGAGATGCTTCTCCTCTTACACTCCCACCACTGCTCTTCCCTAGCACTCTCTGGGCTCTTGTCAGCACTGAGGGGGTGAGAGAGCCTCTCTAGCAAGACCAGCCCAGCTGAAGCAAGGAAGAGTAACTGGCTTAACCCTACCTCCACATACAGTACATTGGGCTATAAGTGAGAATTTAATGATGTCCTGCATCCTGTTCCAAGTATTTATTTCTGTAAAACAGCCCAAGAGAGCAGCTTCCTTCATGCTGGGCTATAGAGCACTTAATCTTGAAGGAGCAGATTGGTATAAGTCAAATTTCAGGCTTTTGGGTGTTGTGTCAGAAGCCTGTAAGGACAAAGTCACAGTCATAGGGTGGTTATGCAGACCTACACACTGCCAAGATGTCCCAAGAGGTGCAAAATGACACCTGGCTGGCAGTAGAGTGTAAGATGCTAAGCACTAGCAGGATGTGAAGACAGAACTAATCTTCCCACCCAGAAACATCATTCCTCCATGCAAAGGCTGAGGCACATTGGCAAACATTGTGCTGTCACTGCCTCTTTTTGGTGGGTAATGGTAATACCAAACAGCAGTCTAAGGGACTTCAGGCTCCACAGCTGTCATTTGCCAGCGACACAGTGACTTTGAAAAACAAAAATAATTAAACAGAGTTGATTTTTATCAAAGCAGCAGCAGGAGCAAGGCCACATGAGATGTTTTCCCTAGGTTGAAAATTACTTCTGAGTAGTGGAAAATCTCCAGGCTCCTCTATAAATCATCCAAGCCTCTACATCTCTGTACTATGTTTAGTATAGCCTTAATATCAAAATGGTGTGTACATTTTCCTTAACACTGCTGGCCACCCCTCAGGGCAATATTTAAAGTCGAGATTTGCCAAAACAAACTGCATGCTTTGTCAAACTCATTTCCTAACATCTTTCTCCCATGAACATCATGTCCCCAGAAGTGAAGGATAAAGAATATGTATTTGGCCACTCCATAGCTTTATCCTCAATCAAATACATACATGAATATGTGCTTATTATTTTTGTTATTAAGAGCTTATACTTTGGTTAGAATCTCAACTTCTGTTCAAAAGTAGTTCTAGTGTCACTAAATATTCTGAGGGTACCTCATTCAAATGCAAAATAAGAGTTGGTGTCATTTTAGGTGCATGATCTAAACAAGGTCTTGTATCTTTTACGAGAAAATAAATTCTTTCTTAGCCCCTTATGTATGACTGAAATTCTGATATGGAAACATCAGAATTTATGGGGGACAAATTTTCTGTTCAAGAAAGGAGATAGGAACAGGCACGCTGGCAGCAGGAAATAATGACAATAGCAGTGCTTTCTTGCTAACCTGTCTCTCTGTGGCTTGAAGGTGTATTGATAATTTAACACAAAATACATAGACAGGCTTTGAGGTGCACTACTTATCCATTTGCTGAATAATGATCTGAAGGCATATATCCTTCTGCTTTCTCAGTCTCTGGCCCAATGTACCGTGATTTTAGTTTTTGCAAGGTAATAGCTTCACCATGACTGGTGTGTGATTTTGCTCATCCCTTCCCCAGAATGATAAAGAACCAGGTCCTTACAGCACTCTGAAAGGAAGAGGGAGAGAAAGAGGATCAAATCCTTCTCTGATGAAGAATGAATTGAACCTGTGCGCTGTTTCCCAGTGGACAATTTTAAGAGCTAGGCAAAGAGTTGCTGTGTGTCTCCAGGGCTGGCCATGTCTGTGCTGAGGTGTGCAGTACCCCACCCTTGTGAATGCAATGCATAGAACCATGGAATCCTAGAATGTGCTGAGTTGGAAGGGACACACTGGGATCATTGAGTCCAGCTCCTGGCCCTGCACAGAACACCCCAGGAATCCCACCCTGTGCGTCAGAGGGTCGTTCAAATGATCCTTGCGCTCTGGCAGCCTTGTGGCCCTGACCACTTCCCTAGGGAGCCTGCTCCAATGCCTGACCACCCTCTGGGTGAAGAACTTTTTCCTGATATCCAACCTAAACCTCCCTGACTCAGCTTCATGCTGTTTCCTTGAGCCCTGTCACTGGTCACAGAGAGCAGAGCTCAGTAGTTTCCCCTTCACTTCCTCTCATGAAGAAGCTGCAGAACTTTCCCCTTCACTTCCCCTGATGAGGAAACTGCAGAACTGCTGTGGGATCTCTCCTCAGTCTCCCCCTCTCCAGGCTGAACAAGCCAGGTGACCTCTACTGTTCCTCGTATAGCTTCCCCTCCAGACCCTTCCCCATCCTCATGACCTCCTTCGGACAGTCTCTAATAGGTTTAATGTCTTTTTTTTTTTAACATATATATGAAGCAAAAGCTGTGTCAGGATGCACCCACTGCCCTGGCATTTCCAGAGGATGGAGGTGGGTGAATGACTTATTTCTGCACCCTTCCTGCACTGTCCTGAGAAAGGCACAGAAGACATAAGCCTGCCAAGAGGGAAACAATTCCCATGGAGTTCCCTTGGCACCCTCATGACTTGCTCTACTCTTCATTCCCAGCTACCACTACAATGCTTAAATATTTTCATCTATCCTTCTTCCACACACATAAATCTTCATTTGCCATCAGGGTGGCAGATGAAAGTATCCCATAAACTTCTTTTGAAACATTTCTGATAAATCCTGCTGGCATGACTGCACAAAAAAGGAAGTGTATTCGTGAAAACCTGTTTTTATGTAATTCACTGTCCTGCTTTCTTTCAAGTGTACAGAAGCTGAACGAGTTTCTCCTGAGTGATGAGATTGGAGATGACAGCTGGAGAGGGGGGGACAGCTCTGTTCCTTATGAATCCTGTAAGAAGCACACAGGACTTGTAAGTTCTGCTTTATGACCCTGAATTTCAAAGCAGAGAGGCCATATAGCCCCACACAAGCCCAGTGGCCAAGCTGACAGAGCCTGAGTGCTTTGATTTCTAGCCTGGCTGGCTCTAATATTGGCTAGTTTTACCTCTTTCATGTCCTAATCTCTCTGTTCTTATGACATGAAGGGTCCCCAAAAGACTCAAGTATTGCTGAAGTGTCAATAGCAAAAAAACCCAAACCTAAACCAAAACCTAAAATCTATCAAACCTAAACCAGCCTAAACCAACCATAAGATGCCAACATATTTAAATATTACTAAAATTCAACCTTCTTCATTTTTCTAGAAGGCCTGGGTGGATTTCTTGTGGTTATGGGGTTTATACTATGTACTGCCTGTACATCTCATACTGGGCATCCTTAGGGAGGAACATTTGTGCTTTGGGTAATTCAGAATTAAAGGTGGAAAAAAACAACACCAAACTTTGTGAAATAGGAATTAATTCCAAAATGCTATTTCTGGAGTACTAAACATAGAGTGAGTTTGAGTAAAAATTGAGTACAAAAAAACCACAACAAAGATGATTTAGGAAAAGTTTTTTTTTTTTCCATTTTGACATTTTTCTTAAGCTATATATTTCAACAGTTTCAAACTGACTGTACAATTTGAGAGGTGACTGAAACTTGAAGATGGCAACAGAAAGATAGGATTAGCACGAAGTAAATTTCATTTTAGCATGACAACCTGAAACAACACCCTTCTTGTTTTTCTGGGCTAACTATAATAACAAGACAAACGAAAATGAGATTGTTTCAGCTTTTATTTTATTTTTCCTGTCCTCCTTTTGCTTAGTGCTACAGAAACTGTAGATGATGGGGAGAGGGTTTGAGAAGGATGGTAAAGATGAAATTTGGGATGGTTGTGCATGGGAAGCAAAAATCCCCTTATTTTCTGTGCTTCAGTTAAGGGTGATTAAAACATTTAAAATGTGTGCATGACAGTGGTGTATCTGTATTATCACATATTGAAAAGCACTGGCTGCTTCTCCTGAGCTGGAATGGTGGTAGGAAAGGGAATGGATTTTTTGCTTTAGAGGGCACCAAATGCTGTCTTCTCATGAGGATTCCAACTTTTCTCCTGTTTTCACCTCTCTCTAGCACACCAAGGCCATCAATAGGAGGCAGCCCCTGAGGTATCAGCTTGAAAGCTACGAGCAGCCAAAAAGGAAGCACACACGACCTGTGGAGATCGATGATGTGGCCATTAAGGTAGTTTGGAAAATGTTTTCCCTCTTGAAAATAGGGAGCAGATCCTCCTGCAACAGTATCTGATGGTGACAAAATTGCTGCCCTTATTTCAAATTTTCCATGGCAAGAGCAAGCTGTTAAATAAGTTAGCACTTTAGGCAAATTTACAGTGAGAAGAGTGGACTTCAGACCAGTTTTTACAGTTATTTAGTGTCTTCTCAGGAAATAAAGAGGCATCATGAATCTAATGTCCAAGTCTTTAGTCTCATATTTGACAGAATGAAAGTATTTGGTAAATAGAACTCAGCTCAAGATCATCCCTTTCTTGCCTTACATACATTATGTACATTTGTGTATTTATCTTTTTCACAATTTTTGGGGGTTTGGCAATATTTACAAACTTAGCTTGCTTTTTTCTTTGTGTGTACAACCATACAACACTGTGTCTATTAATCACATATTTATTTTATGAAGGTATTTTAAATCTAAATTAATAATTTTAATTTTTTCCCCTCCTGTGTTTAAATATCTGATTTGTGGTAATTGTTTTGTAGGTGACCAATGGATACTTTTCGTGGGGAAGTGGTTTAGCTACACTGTCCAACATAAACATTAGAATCCCAACAGGTAGGATGAAAGCACACCTTAAAAATGAAATATATAATGCCAAATTGTTATTAATTCCACTTCTTGATGTTTTGAAATGCACAAAGGTACACATTTAGAATTTTTAAAGAAAAAATAGAGGTTAAAAGTGTATACAAGGTCATAAGCTGTATTGTTCATATAGTAATATCATTAGATAAATTATGTGGCTTTTATATATCTATAGTTTACATAGTTCTATAATAGCACAAACTAAGTCAAGAGTTAAAATAGACATGAAACTATGGTTGAAAAAATATCATTATTATTTTTAATAGAGAAATTGAAGAAAAAGAAAGAGGGAGAACTCCAGACTCATTCAAACCAAGGGTCCATCTAACTCAGTATGTTATTTTCAGCAACACTCATGTATTATATTCTTCCTGCCATTTATCAACTTATGGTCTTCCAGTTCACAACTATTTTCATTCAGAAGATGGAGTTTTTCTGTCAAAAAATCCTTAATTATTTTGTCTCTCAATAAATTCCTCTTTATCAAGCTGAATTCTTGAAATTCCTTACATCCTCAATGTCTTTGGCTAGGGATTCCATAGGTTTACAAAATGCTGATTTGGTTTGGAATACTTGCATAGCAGCTGTGAAAAGTAGCAACTGTTATTTTCTATTATTATAATAACAACCACAATAATTTTATTTCTTTTCTTGTTGATAATGCTGTAATATTCATAACACTGTCTGCTGGCATTTCATGTTATTAAATAGTCTTATGTTTTATTTTGACCTCCTATCAAGGGCTTTGTTTAAAATAGAGTATTACTTTAGGTTGCTGTCACATGGTAATTTAGTAATCCCCAAGCCTGTATGATTTGTTTCCATGTAGTATTAAGTGTCACCAGCAGAATGTCTTTGCTCCAAGGAGTTTACAGTCTGAGGCCTTGGGTTCACAGACCGGGTGAGCCAGAGTTTGCCTCTTTTGGAAGGAATAAGCCCTTGGCTTCCCAGCTGGAGAGAAGTTTAATTGGAAAATTTCCAGTACCTAAAGGGGGGCTACAAGAAACATGGAGAGAGACTCCTGACAGGGGTCTGGAGTGACATGACAAGGGGGAATGGCTTCATACGGCCAGAGAAAAGGTTTAGATGTGATATGAAGAAAGAAATCTTCCCTGTGAGGTTGGTGAGGCTCTGGCACAGGTTGCCCAGAGAAGCTGTGGCTGCCACATCCCTGGAAGTGTCCAAGGCCAGGCTGGATTGAGCTCTGAGAAACCTGGGCTAGTGAAAGGTGTCCCTGCCCACGGCAGGGGAATGGAATGAGGTGATCTGTAAGGTACTTTCCAACACAAACATTCTGTGAGTCTAAGAAATGCACTGGCCAGCACAGTTAATGAGTTCAATCAGTTTATGGGAAGACCTGAGAAGCACTGTTCTCACTGCAGAGTAGGACTGGAGGTAGGAAAGTATCTGTGTGGGGGGATAAGGAGAACTACAGCAAAGCAGAAAAGAGTAATGGGTCTTCTTTCAGTTTATTTTTTAGATTGGTCCAAATTAATTTCAGTTCATTTATTAGATTGGTCCAAATTTTCATGGATCTCCAGGCTGAATAACCACTCCCCACCATATATCATTTGACCCTAAATAACTTTCATAGAGTAACACAGTCCTGTGAAACAAATGCTAATATACGTAAGAGCAAAAGTCTCATTCCTTCGGAGATTAGTGTGTTACTGCAATCCATTACTGTCTCCATAGATTAATACATGCAATATTACCCATTTATATAGTGGATGCTAAAAAGATTATTGAATCAGTTCAAGTGCTCTAGAGCTAAATCTACCTGAGCCTTGTGAACTAGAGTGTAACTGTTGTTTTTTTCTCTTTCTAAAAAGTGTTTTGTTGTTTTTACTATTATTGTAGGTCAGATGACAATGATCGTGGGCCAAGTTGGCTGTGGCAAGTCTTCACTTCTCCTTGCTATACTGGGAGAGATGCAGACCCTGGAGGGAAAAGTTCACTGGAGCAAGTATGTTTATATAGCTATTAATTGCTGTATTCATTTAAGGAGGAGGCTGAGATTTGCTGTGAGAAATGTAAAACTTCATGTCTCAGAACTCCATGTTGAGTGATTACCATTAACCAGATCCTCTCTGGAATGCATCACCTGCAAACTCAGGAAGAATTTCTCACTGTTTTGTCACGTTCAGAGTAGGCAGAACAGGGTGTCCCAAGAAGGGAAAGAGGCTAGTCTGGTGATTAATATTGATATGCAGATAGAAAACTTTATAACTTGCAGAGTAGTTATAAGAGTAGGTATGAATTTATTCAGTGTAGAGGTGCATGGGAGATATCTCCTCCGAAAAGCGTGCACACTTTTGAGCTCTGGCTTTCTCTTTTTATCCTTTACAAACTAGGTTTACACAATATGCTTAATACATATTCATTTCCTAATCTCACCTGTCTTTGCTTCATATTAAAATTAGCTCCATGCCCCTTTGCGGCTGCGTACTGGTCGTTTTTGGTCAGTTCAGTGGTTGTCTGGGGGTCTTTGGGATGAGGTTTCTCTTTAGTTGAACTTTTCACCTTGTCTTCTCATGCATGTTCCTTTTAGTACTTTGACCACCTTTTGGACTTTGATACCGTTCTTTCCAGCTTAGGTGTCCAAATAAACCCTTTATCTTGTGGTGCCTTTGTCTTTGCATCCTGTTTGTGCATTCTAGCTCTTTATCTTATCTTGCAGTCTTGCTCCTTTCTTGTTCTTGTCAGCTCCCCTTCTCTTCTGGTCAGGAATTTCTTTATGCTTAATTCCTATTTCTTAATTTTTCTGTTTCAATATCTAATATATTGGCCTAGCAAGTGACCTGGATAATAAGCATAGGCTTATTCCTTTTATCAAATAGGCTTCAGTACTCACTATGATTGAAGTCAGCATTGTCACGTTGTTCCTGTACCCACCAGTGAAAGTGTGGAGCTTCTTCAGCCCAGTGGGATGTGTTGGGGGCCAGCGTAAAGGAAAGGATTTGTTTCTACTCAGAGCTGCTGCTACTGCTGGTGCAAAAAGAAATGTAATTACATGTGAGAAATTATTTTCTCCTTCCCTGGTACCTACCCAAGCCTCACCTATGCAACAGTGTCACTCTTCACAATAGTACACTCAAAAACCAGCCTGAGCACACTGAACACCTTTTAAGTAAAGGCTGGGCAAAAGCTGTTTCTGAAAGAACGGCTCATGAGGTCAGGCCTTGGATTCAGAACCAGTGAATGAGAACTTCCCACAGAAACTGAGGCAGCAAGCACTCTTCAAGCCTAGACTGGGCAGAGATGGTGGAAGCAATCTGCTGTAACCCCAAGACTTGTTCTTTGGTTTTAAAGATCAGTTCTATTTCTTTAAAACTACCAAGCCAAACTCAGTTATCTTTTTGCTGAGAAAAGAGGGAATCTTGTTAGAGAGATCAATATTTTGTTGCCCCATTCCTTGACTAGTAACATCCTTTATCATATTTTTCTTACAACAGTGTTGAAAACTGGATGTTTTTTGCTTTTCATCTGATGGTATTCATAACATTTTTTCTCTCTAGCTGCACTTCACTTTTTGCTATTCTAAACATATGATCTCACTGGAGTAGCAGGTACAGTTGAAACCAAGGCTACACTAAATTTAGTTTAATTATATATGAATTTAGGCTTTGAAGGAAGAAAAATATGCAACCTACCACAGTTAATTTCTTTGAGACATGCAATGAAGCTTTTTATACCACAATCAGACATTGTTTTTCTCAGTAGTTTAAAAAAAATAAGAGTAAGTAGAATGTACCATGAAAGGATTCTCACAATTTTTTTGAAAGAAGTATTTGAGAAAGACTGAGATTTTTCCTAGTTAAAGATATGGAACTTTGGAAAGATTAGAAAATTAGAAATCTTAGGAACATAATAGATACAGCTTATAAAATGTTTAATAATTATGAATTGTGGAAAAAAAGTAAGTTTAATATTTTTCAAGAGATAGAATCATGCTCTCAGTTGATTAGCAATCTGTACATAACCACAACACCAACTCAGGTTTTAGCAAACCCCTCAGATTTTTTTTTCATTGCACATTATAACTGTGATACAGCTGATGCAAACAGTTATACTTGGCTGATAATTTCAGACTGCCTGGCAAACAGATGAATACAGAAGGATACTTCAGGTATTTAACTAAGTGGCTCCTGTATTTTCCAAAACCATAATAAAGATCCTATTTTCTCTTTTAAGTCCCTTTCCATGTGATTCTCCATGTATGACTACTAACATGTCTATTGATCCAGGGATGAAATGCAGGCTAGGTGAATTCCTTTACAAATTCAGCTGTAACAACACAGTAATTGTAAGCATGGATAAGATTGCAGCCCCAGTTGTATTGGAACAATCCGGCCAAGCATCGCTGGGATTTAAATACCCTGTTGCTGGGGGGGCTGACTGCAGTGAGAGCTGTGTGTCCTGCTGCCAGGGTTGTCACTGCTTTGGCATCTCAGGGAAATAAAGCATGGCAGTAAATCTTTCTGTAAAAGAACTTGGCAAAGTTCTTATGGGCTGGGTCTCAGTTTTTCCCACTTATATTAGACATGGCCCAGAAATGTGACATCCTTAGACACAGAGCTGGGTTTTTGTTTTCCCAGTGAGTAATCAGATTGAGAGACTTGTTAGACACTGGTGCATGAGGGTGTCTGGGTGTTGTCATCCAGACAAGCCTGTTTCACATGAGAGTTCTTTATTATAAAGTTATTTCTTAATAATTTGTGGGAATCGCACAGACATGTATTCCCCTCATGCATATCAAACCAAACAGTCAGTACCATCTTCTCCAACTGCCAAGCCAAGATGGACTAAGTAGAAACCTTTCACTTGCTACATAGTTTTTTGTACACTGAAATGGTTTCTGTGCAAACAGCTTGTTGTATACTAAGTGAAAAGCTCAGGAAACACAAGAGTAAATAGATCCTCAAAAATGGCCTGCTTTGTCCTCAAGAATCCAGAAGGATGTGACAAATATTAGGAAAAGTCAAAGCTCCCCTCAAAAGGATTGCCAAGTACAATGCTCACCCAAAGATTACAACCACAGGAGATTACAGAAAGCACTGAAGGAATAAAAAATCATCCACATAAACGTCAGAGGCCAAAACCAGCAGAACTACCAGTTCTGGTTGCAGGGACAGGCCTAAATTCCTCAGAACTCCTGTATGGAATTTGTGTAGATGCTTGGTCCTCATCTTGCCTCAATTTCCTCCCTACATTAGCAGAGGAAATGGTTCATTCTGTGATTACAGGGCTATCTCAGAGATTTTGCATACCTTCCTCCTCCTCCTCCTCCTCCTCCTCCTCCCTCC